CCTCTGACTGTAGTGTGAATTACCCTCTGACTGTAGTGTGAATTCTCCTCTGACTGTAGTGTGAATTACCCTCTGACTGTAGTGTGAATTCTCCTCTGACTGTAGTGTGAATTACCCTCTGACTGTAGTGTGAATTCTCCTCTGACTGTAGTGTGAATTCTCCTCTGACTGTAGTGTGAATTCTCCTCTGACTGTAGTGTGAATTCTCCTCTGACTGTAGTGTGAATTCTCCTCTGACTGTAGTGTGAATTACCCTCTGACTGTAGTGTGAATTCTCCTCTGACTGTGGTGTGAATTCTTGCCACACGGTCAGAGGTTCGATGTCTCACTCCAACACCGCCCCCTCTCTTTTGGACAGCACATCACAGCCTGTAGTGGTGCAGAGGGATTCGAACCCTCCTCCAGTGTGCGGAGGGATTCGAACCCTCCTCCAGTTGTTTGCGTTTGACACCAGGAGACTCCGTTTCCAGCTGTACATACTTTATTGCAGTATTGGTGACAGATACAGGTACTGCGTCACTACTTTATATTACAAATATCTTATGTACAAACAAACAAACAAACAAACAAACGCCGCGTTGGACACGTGTGGACACGTGTGGACACATGTGGACACGTGTGGACACCCTGGTTTATACAGTAAATACAGAGATCGGTTCACACAGGCAGGACTGGGCCACGACTGACCACGACTGACACGTCTGCATGCTGACCTAGGATGTGACCTATAGGGGTCGCCACCTGACCTTTGGGATAACAAAGAAAAGTCCAGTAACATAAAGAGAAGCAGAGAAATGTCTACATGTTGATTAGGTTTGAGTTAAACTGAGTCACTGGTTTTCCTGTGTCGACCGTTGTCGTTGTTTCTAGAATAAAAAGCGAGAGTTACTGAAACTGGTTCATTTGAGAGAGAGAGAAAAAAATAAAGGATATACGCAACTTATTTAGTAAAAAAAAATCTCCTGAGCAGAAACGCAAACGTCCTCGTCGAGTTTGCAAGATCAGATCTTCAGAAAGTAGCAGTGCCACCACCTGGCCGTTTGATGAACTGCACTTTCAACATTCGCCACTGGGACGCAGAGATGATGGCTGTCCAGATGGTGGAGG